TTTCGCGTAAGCTTCGGTCGCGTCACGATCGTCGGTCACGTGACCACGGCGAAAATTCTGAACTTTGTTTGACTTCTGACCTTTAACAATATGTAATAAATTTTATAAAAAAAATTAAAATTTTATATTAATTGTTATTTAGAAAATAATTTTATAAATTAAAAATTAAAATAAGCTATATAAAAAATATTTAATTTTAAATCATATTTTTCGAAAAAATGATTTTTTTGTTAGTTAACTATCGACAATTATTTAATATTTTTTCAATTATATTATAAATTATATATCTTTAATTGTATTTTTATTAAAATTAATTATTAAATTATTATAAAAAATACAAGATGGTTTCTTTTGTCCTCTACTGTAAATGCATCATTTTATAATATTTTTATAATGAATGTTTAATATAATATGTAATAAATCAGATATATTGTATTTACTACATGTATTTAATAATATTGTGAAAAGTTTATAATTAAATTATTATTATTCACGTTGTCATATATTAAATTAAAATTTCTTTTAAAACTATAAGTGCCAAGTTATTATATCTTGATCGCTTATTATCTTCGAATATTTTTTTCATAATATGATTTGAGAGATATTTTAAAAAATGGCACTTCTTAGAATCAGGAAAGGAAAAGAGTTTATTAGACATATTAATGCTTGTTTTATGCAGTTTATTGCTTCATCATTTTTTTTATTTCAGTTAAAGTATATAATTAACCTATTTAATTTATCTCAAATAAAAATAAGAATAGTTTAACCAAAAAAAAATACCTCCTTTAGGTATAAACGTGACAAAGTTTATAGAAATACAAATTAATTAATTGGAAAAGAAACATTCAACGGGTTCATTATAACTTTATTAATAAATTATGGACCGGATTCATCCCAACGAAGAAAATAGGTTTATATAAGTTTTTTGGTTTCTGCAAGTTATCACCTTCTAACAATATAAGAATGTAAAGATGCAATATGCTATTTTATGAATAAAATGTTTAAATTACAACCGTGAACTCTGTCGATGCAAAAATAAATATGCTGTGTTTTCTGAAATGTTTAAAATTCTCATTGGGTAGCACACCAAAATAAAGCCCAAGTCCTGCTGAGGCCATCATCTAATGGTGCATTCGGATTGTTAACAAAAAATGTATATGCATTTGTCGGCTGAACAATTGCATAATTTGTATATAACAATGATATCCAACTATTATTAACTGAAGGAAGTATTGGCGAAATAATTGACGACCACTCTTCGTTAATCTAATTGCGAATAGAAGTTTAGTTTAATATACTAGGAGCGCCTATATACTGTATACAGTATTTAAGATGATCACTTACAAATTTCTTAGTCCTAAAATATGGCACAATAGGTGTAATTGGAATCATCTGAATTCCTTGAATAGCTTCTACATGTATCGTGTTCAAATAATTATCATTGTTTAGTTTGTTCCTTTTAAATTATACTTCCAATACACTTTTCACTTACCAATTTGCTGGGAAAAGAAGGTGGTATGATCAAGTTTGTTCTCCCACAGTATACCCGAAACCTTGTTTTTTAAAAATGCCTTCGGTTGTACAGTATTTTCATCCTCTAATAGGAAATATGATTGCACTGCTCTTGACTCAACTGCCAGTATGACCTCCATCAGTTTACCCAAATTAAGCATCTCAGTTCCGCCGGAGGGCTCCGAGACTTGAGCCCACAATTTTGCAGCAAAGTAGAAATTATAATCTTCGCTAGTAGACTCTTCATTTTTTCCATCTTCAAAGGCAAAGATTCCACTTGCCCAACTGTGACCGGCAAACCAGTCGAAATTACGGAATGTGGAAAAGTATGTATCACTTGGTGATGGATTAGATACATCACGAATCAATGAGTTCACCCATGCGGAATTAGCAATTCCCCATGACTCATTAAAATGCC